TGAGAAGGGCATTTATTGGGGCAACAAAATGCGCTCACATGTGGAAGCTGTCGGAACATGCTGTTTAGTTTTAAGTAGTGGTTTTATTTTGAATTTAGAAAAGACATTTTATGTTCCAAGTTTTTCTAGGAATTTAATTTCAGTTTCCAGACTTGTACCTTTGGGTTATTCCTTTAATTTTTCAGAAACATCTTTAAGTTTATTTTATAAATATGATCTTAGTGGAACTGGTACATTGTCTGATGGTCTTTTCTCTATTAATTTGCAAAATAATACTACTTATGATGCTATGCATGTTCACACTGGTATGAAGCGATGTGTTATGAATGAAGATTCCTCTATGTTGTGGCACCGGAGATTAGGACATATCTCCGTAGAAAGGATTAAGAGATTAGTAAATGATGGAGTACTTAGTACTTTAGATTTTACTGATTTTGACACTTGTGTGGACTGCATAAAGGGAAAGCAGACCAACAAGAAGAAGAAAGGTGCCAAGAGGAGCTCGGACATATTAGAAATCATACATTCAGATATTTGTAGTCCAGACATGGACACGTATGGTCCGAAATACTTCGTCTCTTTCATTGATGATTACTCGCGATACATGTATCTCTACTTGCTTCATAATAAGAACGAAGCATTAAATGCCTTTAAGGTTTTTAAGGCCGAAGTAGAGAAACAAAGTGGAAAGCAAATTAAGATCGTGAGAACTGATAGAGGCGGAGAGTATTATGGTAGATACACCGAGGATGGACAAGCACCTGGACCATTTGTGAAGTTTCTTCAAGAGCATGGGATAGTTGCCCAATACACTATGCCTCGTTCTCCGGACCAGAATGGTGTAGCAGAAAGAAGAAACTGAACTTTAATGGACATGGTGAGGAGTATGCGTAGTAACTTCAAGCTTCCTGAATCCTTGTGGACTGAAGCTCTTAAAACGGCAGTGTATATATTAAACCGAGTTCCGACCAAGGCTGTCCCAAAGACACCATTTGAATTATGGAAAGGTTGGAAACCCAGTTTGCGACATATACGCGTTTGGGGATGCCCATCTGAAGTGAGAGTTTACAACCCACAAGAAAAGAAACTAGACCCAAGGACCATTAGTGGGTATTTCATTGGATATGCTGAAAAGTCTAAAGGTATATGTTCTATTGTCCATCTCACAGTACTAGGATTGTGGAGTCAAGAAATGCAAAGTTTCTTGAGAATGACTTGATTAGTGGGAGCAACCGATTCCAGGAAATTCTTTCTGAGAAGAATCATATTGATGCTCAACCTTCCACTTCAAGTGACAGATTGATTGTCATTCACAATGCCCCTCAAGTGCAAACGGGTATTAGACAACTAATCGATGAAGTTCCACAAGTTGTTGATGATAATCCAGTAGATCAAGATGTTCAAGAACTGCCAGAAGTTGTTGAACAACCGGTCGAGCAACATGATCCCCAGGGTAATGTTGAAACGACATTAAGGAGATCTACTAGAACAAGGAAATCAACAATACCTAGTGATTACATTGTGTATCTGCAAGAATTGGACTACAACATTGGAGCCGAAAATGATCCTGAAATGTTTTCACAAGCTATGAGTTGCAAAGAATCAAATTTATGGTATGATGCCATGAAAGATGAGATGAATTCTATGGCATCTAATG